ATTTTAGTATAGGTCTGTTTTTAGATAAAATGTTGAACTACGAAGGTTTTAAAGAGAGAGAAATTGTCAACTTTTGGCATATATAACACATTAACCACAATAATGCTGTAGTCCATTGTCGTAAAACGAAGAAATATTCAGCGTAATAATGAGGCACGTTTGATGCATTTAAAGCTGCTTAAACAACAATGTGTATTGTTTGGTAACATTAACAAGCGTCTGTTTCCATACAGCATGGCTGTAAGATACTTTAAAGTGCATGCATTCTGTGACGAATTACTTTAAAATATGAAATTTGAAAAGGCACACAGGTAATCCGGTCCAGATGAACGTATGTAAGCAGTAAATTGAATAGTTTCTGGTTTGTGGCCTCCCCTCTGTACCTGACTGCAAGTAGTTGAAGAAACAAAAGATTTCAGCCGGAGGCATAAAGGATGAAGTACAACCAGTTAAGGCTTAAAATGGGAAATTCATTGTATGCAGCCAAGTAACTCTCAAACCAATTTTATAGGAGATTGCTACAGCAAAATTTGTCGGCGTTAAATCAATCAGTTATGCATCTTGAAGGCTATTACTGGATGGTAGGATGAATTGTAACTTTGTTATTTCTTTGCAGGGTTTGACCTAAGTTACCTTTTGCCTTTGTTTCCAGCCTATTCATTTTTATTCCTCTTGTGGACCACTGTGTTAAAGGAGAACTCCAGTATGTTGAAAAATCTCTTCTCCCCACACTCCTACACCAGGTTTTAAACAAATTAATACGTACATTTTTTTCCTGGTATCTACTGCTTGGTCATGTGCTGTCCTCAGGTCTTCTTTCTCTTGAGTGGCGGTAGGCAGTCTTAAATAGTGCAGAGCAGTATTGAAATGTGAGCCTAGGCTTACATGTTCATTCATGACAGCCTGGGCTCACAAGAAGTGGGTTGGCCATAATTCATCCAGCTACAGAGTAGAGTGTTTGTAGGTAGCAACGCTTGAGACAAGGGGAGTTTTGCAGGGAAAGCTGCTTTGTATGGTTTACAGCATGCTATGTTTTTTTCTTTATTTTTATAAACAAAACTGGAGTTCCACTTTAACAATGCACACGCTGGTGATGCCAGTTTAAAGTTGTTTTGTAAATGAGATTATCTTTTTTATGGTCCTGGAACCAAACAGCTGAATATTCCTCAGGTCTTCTTTCTCTTGAGTGGCGGTAGGCAGTCTTAAATAGTGCAGAGCAGTATTGAAATGTGAGCCTAGGCTTACATGTTCATTCATGACAGCCTGGGCTCACAAGAAGTGGGTTGGCCATAATTCATCCAGCTACAGAGTAGAGTGTTTGTAGGTAGCAACGCTTGAGACAAGGGGAGTTTTGCAGGGAAAGCTGCTTTGTATGGTTTACAGCATGCTAACAAACTGGAGTTCCACTTTAACAATGCACACGCTGGTGATGCCAGTTTAAAGTTGTTTTGTAAATGAGATTATCTTTTTTATGGTCCTGGAACCAAACAGCTGAATAGTACCTAAGGGATTAACGGTAGCCATAGGAGATCTTGTCACTTCCATCGGACCTTCAGTGCAGGGGCAGGTTAGTCAGACAGTTTATCTAGGCAGATGTTGCATTAGGACAACGAGTTTACAGGGATTATCAGTAAAATCATTACATGTTGTCATGAGACCAATATTTATGCACATTACGAGACCTGAAAACATTTGAAAGGTTCACAAACTATTTAAATTTTTGCATTTATACTTTGTAGAGTATATACAGTTGTGTGAAAAAGTGTTGGCCCCCTTCCTGATTTTTCATTGTTTTGCACGTTTGTCACACTTTAATGTTTCAGATCATCAAACAAATTTAAATAAGTAAACACAACATGCAGTTTTTAAAGGAAGGTTTTTATTATTGAGGGAAAACAAAATCCAAACCCACATGGCCCTGTGTGAAAAAGTGTTTGCCCCCCTAAACCTAATAACTGCTTGGTCCACCCATAGCAGCAAGAACTGCAATCAGGCGTTTGCGATAACTTGCAATGAGTCTGTTACAGCGCTGTGCAGGAATTTTGGTCCACTCATCTTTGCAGAATTGTTGTAATTCAGCCACATTGGAAGGTTTTTGAGCCGCCTTTTTAAGGTCATGCCACAGCATCTCAATAGGATTCAGGTCAGGACTTTGACTAGGCCACTCCAAAGTCTTCATTTTGTTTTTCTTCAGCCATTCAGAGGTGAACTTGCTGGTGTGTTTTGGATCATTGTCCTGCTGCAGAACCCAAGTTCGCTTCAGCTTGAGGTCACGAACAGATGGCCGCACATTATCCTTCAGGATTTTTTGGTAGACAGCAGAATTCATGGTTCCATTTATCACAGCAAGTCTTCCAGGTCCTGAAGCAGCAAAACAGCCCCAGACCATCACACTACCACCACCATATTTTACTGTTGGTATGATGTTCTTTTTCTGAAATGCGGTGTTACTCTTACGCCAGATGTAATGGGACACACACCTTCCAAAAAGTTCAACTTTTGTCTCGTCAGTCCACAGAGTATTTTCCCAAAAGTCTTGGGGATCATCAAGATGTTTTCTGGCATAACGGAGACAAGCTTTTATGTTCTTTTTGCTCAGCAGCGGTTTTCATCTTGGAACTCTGCCATGCAGGCCATTTTTGTCCAGTCATTCTTATGGTGGAGTCATGAACACTGACCTGAGGCAAGTAAGGCCTGCAGTTCTTTGGATGTCGTTGTGGGGTCTTTTGTGACCTCTTGGATGAGTCATCAATGCGCTCTTGGGGTAATTTTGGTTGGCCGCCCACTCCTGGGAAGGTTCACCACTGTTCCATGTTTTCGCCATTTGTGGATAATGGCTCTCACTGTGGTTCGCTGGAGTCCCACAGCTTTAGAAATAGCTTTATAACCTTTTCCAGACTGATGGATCTAAATTACTTTCTTTCTCATTTGTTCCTGGATTTCTTTGGATCTCGGCATGATGTGTAGCTTTTGAGGATGTTTTGGTCTACTTCACTTTGTCAGTCAAGTCTTATTTAAGTGATTTCTTGATTGCGAACAGGTGTGGCAGTAATCAGGCCTGGGTGTGGCTAGAGAAATTGAACTCAGGTGTGATAAACCAGAGTTAAGTTATGTTTTAACAGGGGGGGGGGAGGGGGCAAACACTTTCACACAGGGCCATGTGGGTTTTGATTTTGTTTTCCCTTAATAATAAAAACTTTCCCTTAAAAACTGCATGTTGTGTTTACTTGTGTTATCTTTGACTAATATTTACATTTGTTTGATGATCTGAAACATTAAAGTGTGACAAACGTGCAAAACAATGAAAAATCACGAAGGATGTCAACACTTTTTCACACAACTCTAGGATGACATTTTGGCCCAAACCCCAGTGGATTTGAGATCACTTACCCTTCCTGTCATCTTTATATTCTGTGCAGTCTGTGCACTGAACTGATTGGACAAGCCGGAAATACCAGCACCAGAGTGGCTCATGTTTGTTGATTGGAAGAAGGATATCAAAAGTCACTTATGGCTTTACAATTTGTGTAATAAATTATACATATGATATAGATAGAAGCTATTGGGTTTAAGCACATGATACTAATCTTTCTCCATTCGCTAGAGTATCAGATATAAATCAAGGCCTTCAGATATGAGAATCTAATTCGGGTTCAGCATTCATGTTATGCACTTATGATTGCACACAAACATTAGTTAAAGTAGTCTCCATATTATTTTACAGAATCTATTTTTAGTAAAATGTTTTCTACTAGCAACCATTAAGATTTACTAAATGGCCAAAATGACTTTCTGTTGGTTTACATTTTGTCGTGTGGCTAAAAAAAACTAGAGCAAAAGTGTTGAAGGTCCTAGCTGAACAAAGCATTCCTGTTGGTTTCTCAGTAAAATGTTCCAATATATGTATTGTGTTCTATATAGAGATACCTGAACCGTCTATTCCCTGTACCTAAATCCACACTTCAAATTAAGGCATCCTTAGAAAAGGAATATTATTTATGGTTTGGTATTTCATTGTGTGTAATG